AAAGACAAAAAACAAAAACCTAATTAATTAATATTATAACATAAAACATATTATATATATAATAAAAAATTTTATTTTTTAATTATATATTGTATTATTTTTTTAAATAAAATATACGGAATTGATAATGAGAACTAATTTTTCAAATTAGTTTATTAGTTTATTAATTTAAAAAATACATTCATTACGTTTATTACATTATTATATTATCATTTATTTATCTAGTACTAGTAAAAAAAAGTAGTAAATATAAATTTATAAAATAGATTTTTTAATTATATTTTAAGGTGAGAAAAATTTAACACAGCAATAATATATATTAAATTATAAAATGAATTATATTTTTGTATCCTTGAATATAAAATGAAAGTTGACGTTATAGCGAAGTTTTGTTACCCATGATTAAGGTTATAGTGAACTAAAACTTAACCTCATAATGAAAAATTTTGTGTGATTTTTATAATTTATAAAAAATAATTTTTGTAATTTTTTAAAATTACTCTTTAATAAATAATGTAAGTCAGAACTTATTTGATGTTCTTAAGAAAAATCTTTCATAAAATCAATGTATGTATGTGATGAATCTATATGTCATTGTTTTTATTCTTCATAATTATATAAATTAATATTACAGTAAAAATGTTGCAATTTAATGGAACAGTTTATACTATTGCAACTAGACTTACTTCTCGATTTTTGTGGCGATTAAATGCAACATTGACTACAAATACAACTACAGTAGCTTCTGAATCTAAAGTTAACATTAAGGTAAAATTTCATATTTTCAAATATGACTATAAATTTATTTTATGTAATAGATTTTTTAAAAATATTTCAATAATGAAATATTTTATTGTTAATAAAAGTTAATTTATTAAAGCTTAATAATGATCAAATAAAAGAGATAAGATCAAAGAGACAAGTTACAATGAATAATATACAATATATGGAATTTAATGAATTAAAAATAAAATTATGCAAAAATTTAAATATAAAACCTGAAATTGTTACTAAAATTGAACAAACACAAAATATAAATGAACTATTTGAAATTATGAAAACATCTTTAATGTCTCAAGATGATATTTTGAATGTTCTTAAAACTATTACAATATGGGCAACTAAAAATAATAAAAATAATTTAAATTCTATATATAAACAAAATTTAATAGAAACACAAGAAGAAATTAATGAAATAAAAGATTTGAATATTAACTCTGAAAACAATGATATGTCAGCTTATAATGACTTATCAACATCTCAAATGATTATGGTAAAAAGCTGAAATAATATATTTTAATTTTTACATATTTATTACGTATTTTAACATATATTATTATATATTTTAATATTACACATATTAATTTAAATATATGTATTTATGATTTGATATAGGAAATAAACAAATTAGCATGTAATTGCGATAGAAATATAAAGCTTTTAAATTTTTTCTTTCAAAATATTATTGAATATCATAATGTATTAAGTCCAGGAGCATGTTCAAATTTAATGTTTAATATGAGTAAATTATCTTATTCAGATGAGGTAAGATCATAAGAGAGAATTATATATATTTAATTTATTATTATTATATTAATTAATTAATATTAATATTAATATTCTATATGAAAAATTAATGATTAAAAAAAATATATAAATTAAAATTTATTATAGAGATTACTTAAAAAAATTTGTAAGGATTTTATACAGGATAAAAAAATTGCAAAACTAAAAACTATAGTTTCTATATTAAAATCTATGGCACAAATCAGATATAAAAACAATACATTTTTAAATTGTATATGTGAAGATATTATTAATTCTAAAATTAATTATACTATCAAGGAAATTACAAGCATTTTACACTCATTTGCAATATTAGGTTATTATTCTGATTATATAAATAAATTAATAAAGGTATGTAATATAAGAAATTCTAAGATTATAATTATAATTATATACATTATAATTATAATTACTTAATTTTTTGCATTGCATTTTCAAATTATCATTTAAATATTTAACTTTATATACTTTTTACTTTTTTTTAAATATATATTTTATAAATACTGAAATTAAAATTAAAAATTATGTATTGAAATATAATATTATTATTATATTTGTATAATATGTATTATATAAATATTATATTTATATAGATATATATACCAGATTCAATTGTAAATCAAAAATTTAATTATTCTATAAAATTAAATCTTATGTGGTCTTTTGCTGTATTCAAAATATTGCAAAACACACATGCTAAATATGTATTAAATGAAGAATTTGTTTCAAAACTAATGTTAATTGGTTAGTATTACTTATAGTTTTAATATTTATAACTAGAATGATTATTATACATTATAATTGTATATATTATGATTATATTTGATTGTTGTTAATATTTATTATAGATGAGAAAAATAAATTATCTCATCAGTTAAAGTTATTAAATATTAATGGATATGCACAATATGCACTCAAAGATTATTCTGGTAAGTAAAAATATAAATTATTTGAAGATACAACATAATAAAAAAATATTAAATAAATATGTTTTAGGACCCTTTCTTAATAAAAAAATTGTACCAGATATTGTAAATATACGTTCAAAACAAAAGAAAGCATATGTTGATGTACTTGAAGCAACATTAAAAAATATGTTACCATCTGCATCTTATTATAAGATGAATATAAATACCAAAATGGGATTTATTTTAGGTATTTATAAAAATATTTATATTTATTAAAAAATAATATATTATATTTAATTAATATGATATTACAGATGCTGAATTATGTGTAGATTTAAACTTTAATTTTATTCCTGTGGATAATGTTAATCAAGATGAAAATTTCATTAAGTATGAAAAGAATAATTTAAAATTAGATGATTATAAATTTTAATATAAGAACATTATAATAACTAATATAAATTATTTAATTTTCAGGATAGCTTTAATATTACTTGATTATTATGATATGTGTTTAGAAGATTTAAATTATAATGGTTTAATTAAATTATATTCTCATTTGTTAAAATGTAAAAAATATAAAGTATTGTGTATATCTTACCAATATTTTGGTATGGAAGATAAACTTGAAAGACGTGTATCTTATTTAAAACGTCAGTTATGGAAAAATTTTAAAAAGATATAGTAATCATCAACTCATATTATGTATTATTTAATAAATAAAAAAATTTTAAAATATAATTATGTTTATAATTTATATTTTTTTTATTTATTATTTAATAATATCTTATTTAATAATATTTCATTGTATTTTATTTTTTTATTTCATAATATAAAAATTCATAATTTATAATATATTTCTTTAAAAATATTAAAAATATATATTAAATATTCCATTAATTTATTATGTAATTATTGTATTATAGTATTAATTGTAAATCCTTTTTGTCTTGTATTTAATAATAGAAATATAATTTATTTTACATTAAACATTAAATATATTGTACAATTAAAAAAAAAATAAAATGTGTTTAATTGATATCATATCTTATTTATAATCTGAGCGCCAAGAGAAAGTACAAATAATGGGAGGACAGAGATAAAATAAAATTATTGTAATCGAGTTTTCAGAAAAATGAAACTTTTTGATAATGAAATCAATTTTAATGAAAAAAAATTATTATATACATACAAAAATATCAATTATTTTATTAAATTATGTGCGATTTAAGTTTATATTAGTTGAAATGAGACAGAGATAGAGGAAGATGATTCTATTTCATATGATTTTAAATTTCATAATAAGAAAAGCATTATGTGTCATATTTATATTTTTATGCTTTGTTTTTTATTTATGTTCAAATAACAATATAAAATATAGAAATATATAAATCATAAAATCAACAGATTTAATATCATAGATGAGATAAAGATAAACTATACGCAGTCTCTAATGATAAATTTATTCTTTACTCCTTATATAACTCTGTTATATTTTTTATGTACATAAAATTATATATATTTTAATTATTTTTTTTATACATTTTAATACACTTTATATTATATAATTGTTTTTTTTTCTTATAATACCTAATAGATATGTTTTTCTTTAAATAGATCGAAGTTATTTAATTTAACAATTCAAGACATAATTTCACTGATACTTGCGCCATCTCTTAAAAATGTATGATTAAATGTGAACAGAATTACTCATATTAAAATTGGAATAGATTTTTTTTATTGTGATTTATCGAAAAGTGCTGTGATTAATTTTATAATCCTTTTATAGAAAAAAATTCGTTTAAAGATGGTAGATAACTGTTATTAATTCTATTGTCAAAATTAAATAATATATATATATATATATATATTATTATTAATAGCATTTTAAATAATATTAAATTTACTTGTATAAAAGTAGTCCATTTTTTAGATGCAATTTATGCTATTATTTAGCCGTCAAGGAAAATTACGTTTACAAAAATGGTATGTGGCTCATCCTGATAAATTAAAGAAAAAAATTACACGAGAATTAATTACTACAATATTGGCACGAAAACCAAAAATGTCAAGTTTTTTAGAATGGAAAGATGTTAAGGTTGTCTATAAAAGGTATATTATAATTATGTAAAAAATTTCTATTAGCTGATAAAACATATATTATATATATTATTTGAATGATAAATTATTTTAAATAGTAAATCATTTTGTTTCACAGATATGCTAGTTTATATTTCTGTTGTGCAATAGAACAAAATGATAATGAATTATTAACATTAGAAATTATACATCGTTATGTTGAATTATTAGATAAATATTTTGGAAGTGTAAGTATGAATTTATGAATAATCAGTTATTTATTTATTATTATATTTTTTTAAAATTTACATACTTTTATTAGACACATACTTTTATTAGATTTATTAATGAATATAATCTATGAAAATATGAGTTTAAAAATTATATTTTTAATTTTTAATTAGAACTTTGTAAATAAAATAATATCAATGTTTTTATTTTATTTTAATTATATAATAGTTAATTAGTATTTTTAATATTAATATAAATATGTCAATAGGTTTGTGAATTAGATATAATTTTCAATTTTGAGAAAGCATACTTCATCTTAGATGAATTATTGGTTGGTGGTGAAATTCAAGAAACTAGCAAAAAAAATGTCCTAAAAGCCATAGCAGCTCAGGATTTACTACAGGAGGTTAGTTATGGGGATGTACCCATTGAGTTGTGATTTGTTCTTTTTAATGATATTATAATTTTTTTCTGTTATTTTCTAGTAATATTAGAGAATCGTTTTAACATATACATTTTGTTAATGACTATGATGATATACTTTTATTATATATATTTTTTTTTGGTTTTAAGAAAATTAACATAATTTTTATTATATTTTATCTATTAATATCCATTATTATATCAGTACCTGCAAATTTGTTAAAACGATTCTTACATTATTTAACCATCAATAGTTGGTGTGTAACATTCTTATTAAAATAATCAAATTTCATTTTGATTAAGAGGTACTTATAAAAGATACTAGAACTTTTGGCTGATGTATATGTGGAGCATGTTTGTAGCCTATTTACTCTGGGTAAAATAATATGGTATATATAATGGATGAAATATATATATATGTATTATATATATATATGTATACATTTATATTAAGATAT